TCCAGAGGTTTTTAGAGGACAGGATCTTGCAAAATTTTAGCAAAAAGAGCAGCAATCAAGTGACAAAAAATACTGTGGTGGGACACAAAGTGGGTCACAGAGATGGGCTTTTTGGGGGGTCAGTTCTGRGTTGAATTGGAAATTTGAATTCCCAGGGTTTAGCTGGGGATTCAAAGGGGAGAATTTGAGGTTTCTGTCCCAGCAGAGCTGTGTTTTCCACTCTGATATGTGCAGAGTGATGGAGCATTGTGAGTTCCATCAAGCACAGCAGAAGGCCACCACAAAAATCATAATAATGTGGAAGAAAAAAATGGTTTGGCTTGTTGGCATCTTGTTTGGCTTGTTTAAAACTTTTCAGAGGGGATCTTTTACTTACTRTCTATTCAGGAGCTCTTTCTACTGCACCCTGGAGATTTAACTGAGGGAATCCACCAAGTTGTGCRGTGCTGTTCACCATCTGGAAATGCCAGCATCTTTTTTCTTTCTGATAATGCCCTTTCTTCCAGGCAGTGTGTGTTGTTTKTGAGAAACCAGCTGCTCACTTGGTGGTAGTTTAACCATTTACAATTAAATGTGACTTCAGCTGTTACTAAAACATTATTGTCCCTGTAGCAGTGATCATTCTTTTTTAAGGCATTTTTTTTTTTTTAGGATTCCTGCCATTTCACTGGGAAGAAGTTGCTTAATGATTTGACAGGAAATGCTAATAATTTTATCTTAGGGAAAAAGATCAACTTTTTCACASCACATCACTCATTAGTACTGACATTTTTTGTGTTTATTCAGCCATTCTAAGCACAGAAGCTTCAGCCTTTGGGTACCTATACCTGCTTTATCCCTGTGTTTGGATCTTCCTGAGCTTTGGCTTTGCTGCTTTGATACCTGTAAAGTAAATTCCCAAATGATTCAGACAGAGCCATCACTTTTTCAGGGAAATGGGTAAGGAGGAGGCGCAGGCACCTTGTCCTGGTGGTGTTTTGAGTGTCCATTTCTCCCAGAGGAGACTGGAGCTGGGCTGGGAGCTCCAGCATTTTTGGGGACCTCAAAATTTTTTTTTTTTTTGAATGGTGTCTACAGAAAAGTTTCCTGAATAAACACAATTCCTTTGCTAAGATTTGTGTAAATGTCTGTTTACAAATAGAGAGATAAGCGGGGCACTAAAGCAGCCTAAGCGGGGCACTAAAGCAGCCTAAGCGGGGTACTAAAGCAGCCTGCCAGGCTCACAAAGGTATTGACCCTAAAAGTGTTGGGAAAAATTATTGGAAAAAAAATATTTATTGCTGAAAAAGCAATAAAAATGAATTAAAATGATAACAAATGAATATATATATATATATATATGGAGATGTCATTTATTCACCTAAATTCTGCGAGTAACCAGCTGAACTCCAGCAGCAGTGGCAGCGGTGATGCTCAGAAAGCTCAAGGGCGAGARTTTCTGKTTTCTGTATGATTCTGTGCAATTAWCCCATGGCACAGGGCGGTGATGAATCCCCCTCCACCACTCTTTTTGCTGCATTTCCCAAAAATCCCTTGGAACATCTGCAATAGGAGTGCAGATGATGCGTTGTGACCGCCGCGGGCACAATTCCCTGGATTGGAGCGGGGTTTTCTCACCCTGCTTGAGCTGTTGTCTCTTCCCTGCTCTTCACCTCCCTCCCCACTGCCAGATCCCATTAAATCCTCCCAGCAGAGCCACCCGGGTGGCAAAGGTGACAATTTGGAGCYGCAGGGACGAGTCACACCAGCCTGTGCTTCCCGGAGCGGGGTTGGTGACAGCCCGGGCTCTGCTCTCCCCAGTCCCAGCCAGATGACATTTGGGCTGAGAAAACCAGGAAAGCAGGCCATGCCAAAAGCCTATATGAAAATGAAATATCAAATTTCATATGAAAATGAAATATCTTGTGTTTTTATTGCAGCCCTGTGATTTAATTGATAGCCAAAAGGCTGTCCCCCCATGCAAAGCTCGGCTGACCCAAAGGGAATTCCGTGAGTGCAGGGAAAGTTCACCAGCCTGCCAGACAGATTTTTTCCATGATTTCCATGTGAGAAAAGGCATGGCAGTGCAATGGAAACCATCAAATGTTGCATCCAAATGTTTTTCTGTTATTTATTATAAAATCCAAACTTTTGTTCAATGGGGTACCTCCTCCATCAAACCTTGTGCAATGGGGTACCTCCTCCATCAGACTTTCCCTCATTTCATTTCAACAGAGTTCTGATGGTGTCAGGACAAAATATTTTGCCTGGTTGCCAAAAATCAAATTAATGGTGGTTTTCAGGTGCGATTTTCTAAGATCAGTAGAAAAAGGGCTCTTTTTGTACAGGAATGGTGCTTTTTTTAATGACTGGCTTTTACAGACATTGTCAGAGGCTAGTAAAATAATCTGAGTTCAAATCTGAGTTCAAATCTGAGTTCAAATTCTGTCAGGACAGACTTTTGGGTTTGGAAGGTCAAGATCTGATCTAGGAAATGTTACAGCTGAACAAATGTGAGAAGCTGTCTGTTGAACCAATTAACTTTTCCTAGAATCGGCCTTAAAATGGATATGAAGGAGATATCCATGAACAACAGGATTTAGTTTTCTGGTTTCTTTCCCTTTGCTCTTTTGCAGTTTTCTCTGCCTYTGCAGCATCCATTCCTTCTGGAATATCTGTGAGTTTGGCAGCTTCATGGCTCAGGAGTGTGACCCAGGGCTCAGGAGTCTGTAGGGCTGGCTTATTGTCAGGCCTAGAGAACACTTGAGGTGAATTTTTCTTCAAAAAGTGTTTAATTAAGCTGAAAACACCAGTGGAATTATGCCAAAAGTGAGAAGTATGGGATAGATGGGTTGTGATGCAATAATCTCATCAATGTGTGATTGGGGTAACATATGATAAAAGTGTAATTTTTGCCATTCTGCAGAGAGAGCAAAGTTTTGATGTGCTACRGAGCTATTTTTGTAAATGCTTTGCKGAGTGCTTTTCRTTGGTACTGTATTTCAAATCCTTTGACTCATGAAATCGGTATTTTTGTGCCATTTCTCCAACTGTAAACTCTTAATGAATAATGGGAAAAAAATKATAATATTAGGAAAACTCTAAAATGGTGCTATCATCATGCTGTGTAGGCTTAATGTTCTTCAACAGAAGCAAATTGCATAACCCTGTGATCAGGGTTTCTCACAACTGGATTTTTTTATAAAGCACCTTTGGAATTATTCCTCCTCAGGGAGTCCCTCAGGGCTGATTGATTTAGACCTGTATAAAATCCAAATTGTTAATGTAATATGATCTTTGCATTTCTGCTGTGTTTTATATGGTTCCCACTACTCTTATACAGGTTAATACTTGTTTTCCTAAAATTTAGCCTCAACAGTACTTAATAGCAGTCAGAGTTTTTTTTTTGGCAATTTTTCTAAATCTCAGAAATAAACAATTAAAGCTGAGTTGAAGATTGAAATTCTGTCTTCAGTGTGCAGAAGGTTATGAAAAGACACATACCTGACATATAATGGGAGAATGTCTTTGTCAGTCATGCAGTAAAATTTCCAAGCGCCCTCTTTATCAGGTTCACTTTTAAATGTTATTAATCCAAGTGATCTGTACGTAATGCAACACAAGTCAAGACATCAAATATCTTTTGCTGTTGAAGATGCCTTTTTGGGTTTTTTTTGGTTTTTTTTTTTTGTGGATGTGTGTGATTTCTTTTTGAACATAATTGCAGCACTTTGCTGTTGAATGTGCACAGGAAGGAGCTGGATGGGAGGTGTAGAAACTTAGCAAGAAAGAAAATTATAGATATAAAGAAACTTAGCTTTAACTAGGTGCAACATGGCCCRTTTTGCTCTCTTTGCTGCTGGCTCCTGTCCCCATGGGCTGATCCCAGCTGCTGCTGCTCTTGGCTCTGCTGACCCCTGAGTTTTTGGGTGGCCAGAGCCAATGTCCAGCCCATTTTTTGTGTCTCAAGATCTTCTCTTCTTGCTCTTCTACATCATAATTCTGAGTTATTCCWGGGGCTATGGAGGAGGGTGGCATCCTCTGTGCCTGATCCAGATGTGCTGCAGCTGCAGGGCAGGATTTAGCTCCATTTAGCTTTTTTTATTCCTCTGCTGTAGCTGCAATGGGACACAGCTTGGCGTGGTACCAAATGCCAGGGCTGAGCTTTGATCTATTGTCTTGACATGGGGGAAGGGAAATAAACCCCACCACCTTAAATTTTACCCTTGAGTGAATCCTAATCTTTAAATTAGTACAAATGTGAGAGTTGCCAYGCTGTGATTTTAGAATAACTGTAATCATTTCAAGAAAACAAAGCCTAGGAACGTTGTGGTGCTGAATGCAGAGTGAACTGGTGTTTGAAATGACGTGTTGTACATCTGCACATACCAAAAAAAAAAAGAGTTTAATTTCCTAATTTGTTTTGGATCTTGCCCCCCTCTCCTCTTGTTCATCCCTGTTTTATTTTGCCCCTTTTGTGTCTGTAATTGCGTGTGTTATTAGAGCTGGCAGGACGAGCACCTCCAGATGCATCCTCCAGGAACAGAGCCAGAGCTGACTCCATTCCCGTGTCACACTGCATGCCAAGGCACTGCAGCTCGCTTGTCAGAACCTATTCCCTGCCTAAACTTCTTCTAAACACATCTTCTCATGTAATATTTTGACACGGGGTGACTCGTGATAACCTCGAGAATTGGCCCAAAAGTAAGAATGTGTCTTTTGGCGTGTTGAGACATTCCTGTTAAAAGCAGGATTTTGGAATAGTGTGGCCTAGGCAGCTTTCCTTRTCCTTCTGTCAGATGAAATGGGTTGAGGGGTTTAAAATCTGTTGTGTGGAAGCTTTCACTGGGTTTCRTRTTTTGKTTTGTCACTGGTTTYRTGTTATTTTATGAAAATAAYYAAAAAACTCACTTGTTCTACTAARCAWAATGCATTTCATGTTGCGATTTGTWRCARCAAGACAACAACTCCTCTTCTGTTTTTTAGGGAAGAATATACTAATTTTGCTTATTATTTTACAGGTATCAGGCAACAGCATATCAACGATGCTCCTTCCACAGGATCTTTTCCTAACTGGAGATCRATTCTATCACCAACACGGCCTTCCACAGAAACCAAGACTCCCTCAGCMGCTGACATTTCTCTGGGACAGACTTTGGAGAACGCAGACTTGCTCCAGATGATAAAAACGACGCTGACTGGCGCACGCAGCAGGACTTTGGATCARATGCACCTCCTGTCACCCTCTCTGTACCAAGGCAGCGGGCACAGCGCGCCCCARGAACCCGCCGAGGTTTCGGCTGAGTCCCCACTGAGGCCGTCACCCCAAGATGCAGAGGACACAGCTGCTCTGACAGGTTTGCCCCAGCTTGGTATGTTTGCCACACTGCCCACCACACCATTCAAGTGCCAGCAGTGCCATCCCAGCCATTAAAACACCCTCCATTCCCAAAGAGAGCTCATCGGGATCAGACATGCTTGCTGCTGTTCCATCATCATCATCATCATCATCATCATCCTCCTCATTGGTAATTCAGTCACCTCATGCCATTAACTTTTCTAAACCAGCTGTGCTGCCCATCCAAGTGCCTTTGTCTGCAGGTCCTGAAGGTTTCTTCAGCACAGATTCAGCTAGCTCACAGGTTAGTGAAAGCAGGAATAGTCCTCTGAGATTATTGAATTCCAGTGTGGGGAATCACAACAGTGCATTTCACAGAATTAGTGGGAGGAGGGCCTTCTTTGGAAAGGATCTCTATTCCACCTGTCTGTTCTGATATTCCTGGGTCAAAAATGCATCAGTCTCCCCTGACAGTAACTCCCCAAAGCCTGTCATGGTTCCCTGGTGACAGTATGTAYAATGTCTCTTCCACTGGAGTAAAACTGCTCAGCCATTCAGGGCAGCACTGACTGATGGAATTAGCGGTATCACTCTTGTACCATCATCATTTTCCAGGATAAAGCAGAGGTTCTCCACATCTAACACGGCCAGTGAGCCATGCTCAGCCTTTCACAGCACTGACTGATGGAATTAGCAGCATCACTCTTGTACCATCATCATTTTCCAGGATAAGGCAGAGGTTCTCCACATCTAACACGGCCAGTGAGCCATACTCAGCCTTTCACAACACTGACTGATGGAATTAGCAGCATCACTCTTGTACCATCATCATTTTCCAGGATAAAGCAGAGGTTTCTACATCAGTCCTCCATCCTGTGGGTTCTCCACATCTAACACAGCCAGTGAGCCATGCCCAGCCTTTCACAGCACTGACTGATGGAATTAGCAGCATCACTCTTCTACCATCATCATTTTCCAGGATAAAGCAGAGGTTCTCCACATCTAACATGGCCAGTTAACATGCCCAGCCTTTCACAGCACTGRCTGATCACCCCACAGGCTCTAACCCTGCACCTTTTGTGCCATCATCCTCCCAGAGCCCGGCTGAGGAGTGCAGCTCAGTGCAGAACACGTTCCCCCTTGCACTGCCAGTGCCACTCGTTCCAGATGCGAGACACGCTCGCAGTGCAGTGCTGCCAGGATGAGAATTCAGAAGCAAAACARATTTTCTCTTTAGCAATGCAACTCACTCCTCTCCAGCAAGCCCAAGGTGTCCCTTGCTAACTGAGACAAACGAGGTGTTTACTGGGGCAGCACGCACAGACAGTCCCAGAATGGCAGCAGCAAATCCCTCCTCTGCTGCCTCTGGATCAGATTTTACAGGAGGACCTGACTGGTGGAACCCACCAGGAAAACAGCCTCAAATCCTGGTGGTTTTCCTGCTGCAAGGACAGCTCAGCAGTGTTTCACAAGAGGAGGGACTGCAGAGATGTCTGTGAATTTTAATGCTGATAATGTTCTGCATCGTGGAGCTCAGCTTTGCAAAGTTTCTCCAGCTATCCAAACCAGCACAGTTCCTGCAGGATCAAGGATGGTAGGTGCTGTTTTGGAGGTGGCTGTGGCTGGTCTTGATCTGTCTGCCATGCCATTAATTACTTCCACTATAGGCCTTTCCAAACCNCCTCCTCTAGCTGCAGCTGCAGAAAGTTCAGATGTAACCGTAAATGAAGACAGAAAGATGAGACTGCCCACWCTTGTGACTCCACATGCAGAATATTCATCTCCAAGAGCTTGAAATCATTTAACCTCTGTCCAGACTTTGCATTCAGTTGATRAAAAGCCACTCAGCTCTGTCATGCCTGCAGCATAGGGGATGCTGCCATCACTTGTTTCCATGACAACAGTGATGGACGGCCACGGTTCTGGCTCTTCCAGGATTTTGAAGACTCTGAAAGCAATTTAGATGCTGTCAGCCCTCCTGAAGTCATAGCTTCAGCTTCCACATGGACCAATAAAGCATTGCTGTCTCTAGCTGGCATTAGTATTCCTTTGGTAAAAACTTCAGTCCAAACTGAACTAAGAGAAGTTGCTCCAAGTACTTTTCCACTGGAAAATGAGTACCATGAACCACACTGGGAGGTTTCAAGTCTGCAAAATAAAATTAACACAAATGACAAGCAGCCACTTTTCTCCACCCCTTCAGCAAATTATACATATGCATCCTAYAGTCGAAACATTTCAAATTTACCCTTTGCTGGAAAGAATAGCATTTCAGAGTTTGACATAGATGCATTTGCTCTGAAAATGTCTGTTCAATATTCATCCCTTGCTATTGAATTGGCAATACCTGACCCCTCTGCAAAAAAAAAACATGGAAGCACGGCCAAAAATATTGCTGATTCTTCACTGTTGGAGATGTTCCTATGGGTAAACATGGCAAAGCACCTCTCCATTTACCTGTGCCTCCTGTTGATGCTACAGGTGCTCTCCCTAGCTCTCCAGAACCCCGAATGAGTGATGCTGGGAAGGTTCCTTTCCTGACCAAAAAGTTAGGCACAGCACTAGCGCTGGCTTTTCAGCTCACTGACAATTTAAATCCTTCAGCCTGGTCCCCTCTCCCCTAACCAAGCCTTCTGGCTCAACCCTYTTCTAGTTTTATCTCAGAAGATGCTGGTTCTGGACATTTTCCAAAATTTGCAGGCAACCAGTTGGAGTCCTCTGGTTATTAGGTTATGGCTGATAAAAACTTGTGGGACACAAGTCATAGTCCAGCTCCCTGTAACACAYCCAACCCAGCTCCCGAGGGCATCCCATTGCAAACCCCTGCCACCAGTGCTCTGCAGTCAGTCATCATTCCTTCTGTCCATGCATCACCAGCACAGACAGAGTCTCCTTCTTTGTCAACAACCAACTTTACCCATTCTGTTCTTGCAGTGTTATCTGGAGTATCTTCTGGTGCAATACCTACAGTAGAAACTTCAGAAGCAAAACCACTAACAAGGAAATCACCTCCAGCTTCACCAGTGCCAGCTTCTTCCTTCTTTTCTCTGGGCACTGCAAACACACCTTTGCCATCTGTGATGGCACTAAGCACACCGATGCTGACACTAACAAAAAATAACACTGCCACCAACCCAACATCGGTAGGAACACACCCAGATTTTCCTTTTGCAACAAGAAACACGACAGCCTCACCTGTGGATATTCCAACTGTGCTCAYAACCCCCAAGAGCAGCACTGTCACRGTGTCCACRCTCACACCCACAGCCCATGCACCGAGGCACAAAACCGACACCCACAAATTCCAGAGCTCACACATCACCAAAAGGCCAACCCCATACCCACTGACAATGACAGCAGCTTTGACATCTATTACAGCATCAGCGAAAACAACTATGCTTCCCCTTTATCCCGTGGAATTCACCCCTGCTCCTCCYGAAAGCACAGCAGCAGCCGCTTTCGCTAACATGACAGCAGCTCCCTCCCTGGAGTGCCGCCTCTCTGCCAGCATGATGCTCAAAACAGGTATGTGTCAYCTCTGGGATGGCTGCAGGGAGCTCTGGGTCTGTGCAGGGTGAGGATTGAGCTGTGGGGAATGCACTGTTGGCAGAGAATTTAGGGTGGGAATGGTTAATCTGCTGCCCTGACAAACCTGACATCCTGTTAGATGGAAATGGCATTGGCTGTGCTCGTGGCTTGGATTTTAACAGGAATGAGTCAAGTGAAGAGATCAGGAGCTCTGCAATTCAAAGGGGTCACTGCAGGGTCACCTTTGTGTCTGTGAGACAGGATGGTTTGGTCCCTGCTTTGCAGTAAAAACTCTCTGCTGCTGAAGAGAACAGTGCCTTGGTCCTCAGCCTTGTTTACACACAAATACCGAATCCTATTCCAATATCAGCACCTAATTCTATCATTAAAGATTAATTTGAAAATAAGGTTTAGCATTTGGAGCTGCAGGCTTCAAAATGGGAGGATTTTGAGTTTCCTGGGTGAACAGAGCCGCTTCTGGCTCTGGTTGTTTTTTCATGGACAGCTTCTCCTTAACTCTGAGAACTCTAAACTAAAGGGGCCTGGAGGAGAACCTTACCCAGGATTCACATGGACTCCTTATCTTGGAGATCTCAGCAAAGAAAGGGCACAGAAAAGAGTTTATGACCTTGCATGACAGCAAAATGAGCAGCTTTTGGATCTAAAGGCTTTGTTAGCTGGTTCTCCCCATCAGCAGCGTGATGAGTACAGCAGCTCTTTCTGAACGTAGAAGCAGCTTGTGTACAGTCTATGAAAGTATTCAAGTGCAGCTATAAAACTCTTTCAGCAAATTATAAGAGAAAAAGAAGACAGTGCTAAGTTTATTAAAGAATGCCTACAGATGCTTCCTAAATGGAAAATAATCGTAGCAGTGGAGCAGCCCATGTGTTTTATGTAACTCTGGCCAGGAAGATGTGAAGCCTGCCTGGCTCAGTCCCCTGGGAATGCTGTGCCAGCCTGGCCCCAGGCACTGAGTGGCCTCATGGCTCACTGGGGYAAAAATTGAAGAAATTGCATTTGTTAGACCTTGCTCTGGAAATAGGGATAAAAAGGTCTTTTGCAATGGGATGAGCAGGGAGCTCAGGAGCTGCTGAGCCCCTGCAGTTCTGTTTTAGGAGCTGATCCAAGCTTTGATGATCCCTGCACAGCCAGCCCGATGTAAAACAATTCAAGAGAGCAAACAGGAGCGTGGTGATGTCTCAAACCACCCTGTGGCTTCTGTTCCTCCACAGTTCTGTTTCTGAGCACGAGGAGGATGATGATCAGCAACGCCTTCAGGGAGAGTGTGAGAAAAGGACTCAACCAAGTGCTGAGACAAGCTTTCAACCAGAATGTCAGYGCTCAGGTAAGCATGCCTGGCTCTACCCGTGTCCCTGCAAGGGACACATAGGGTTGTGGGGGAAAAAAGTGGCCCCACAAGCCCTGATTCTGAAACTCAGCCAATTATTGTGTATGACTGAGGTTTGGGAAAAGAAAGGGATGTTAACAGCCTACATGGAGGAGGAATAACACARCCTTGAGAAAAGCAGATTGTAATGCAGAATTGATAACGCAGGTGGCTGGAAATTATAAACATTACTAATACTGCAGCTTTTGCAAACTCACCAATKATGTTCTGATTACTAATTAAACAGCTGTCTCTTAACCAATGTATGTTTGACACAAATGTATACTCTGGTTGCTAAAGTGGATAAAAGAGGCTTGTCCCACAATAAAGTCTTTCTTTCTCTTTGTGTTTTTTCACCCACTTTTTGTGTATTTTTATATCCATTCTTTTTGGTCGCTGTTTGGCCAGCAGTGACATAGGGTGAGAAGCCCCATCAAACAGTGGCTGAACTGCAAACAGAATAATGAAAAAATAATGAAAAAATAAGGAAAAAAATAATGAAAAAAATAATGGAAAAAAAGAATGAAAAAATAATGAAAAAAATTAATGAAAAAATAATGAAAAAAATTAATGAAAAAATGATGGAAAAAAATGGAAAAATAATGTTTCCCTGTGTGTTTTAGGTTGAAATCCTGGAGCAATCGAGTAACCTGACGGTGGGTTATTATGTCACGAGGGGGAGGATGGTTTTCACGCCCGCTGCTGTCGTTGAGAAGCTGCTTGCCTATGGCATCACCAACGCCACGGTGGCCATGAGGCAGCACGTGCCACATCTGCAGGCTGTGGTKGCCCTGGCACTGCCCTGGCAGCCCCTTCCAGCCGACCACTTCCAGCTGAAAACGGGTGAGTGATGCCCCTGATCACAGCTCAGAGCTCAGGGACTCTGTGTTGCCTTGAAAAGCCAGTTTTTAATAATGGCACAGACATGGTTAAGGGGATAAAAAGGGTTTTACCTCGGGATTTGGGATCCCAGGTGCACAACTTGATGGCAGAATGCACCCCCGTGTACAGCACGGGTACAAGTTTTATAGGTTTCAGGAGTTAACATCTCTATCTAGGATTCCCCAAATTCACAAATGCAGTAATGTTTCTTTATTTTAATGAATTTCCCTGTGGATGAGGCCAGAGCCCAGTTTACACAAGATGTTCTGGACAGAGGCTTCACCCAAGGCTGAGCTCRGGTTTAAGATAGCACAGGGCACACTGAGCCCTTCCTCAGGATGTTTGGTCTCTCTGCCCAGCAGAACTCCTAAACTRAGCTGGAATATCAAGCTYYAGGAATTACAARCATGKGGACTAAGGGKTACAGAAGTRTAAAGGGAAAAACAAAAATCATCAGGCATCGTCTGGAGCAGCAACTGTGCCATAACCTGCGTGTTTCTCCCGGAGCAATCAGATTAGAAACATGACTGTATCACAAATAGATATATTTATTTCTTATATGTGTGCTTATTTGTTGACATGCACACACTTATGGCAGTTAAAGTCAAGTGTATTTTTCCTAGAATGAAAGCAAAACAGAATGAGAATCAAGATYATGTTTTGAAGGACCAAATGACCTTCAAGATTTAAGACTGCAGCTCATCTTTTAGGATGACTTCACTTAATGCCTGGCTCTGAGCGTACATGCACAGTGAACTGGCCTCACCATCTTATCTATCATTGCAGAAATAATCTCCATTTCTTTGTGGAGAGTATCAGCTCTAATAACCCAATTTAATTCTTGCATTTTGTCTTAATTAAGGCTAATTTAGTGCRCTTCCTGAAGTGGCATTATTTTCACCTGCCTAATGTGTAAATTGATCRTTTTGTTCTTGGTGCTGTGACTGAGAATATTTTGTCCTTACAYTAATACCTTCCTTTTCCAGAGCTGCAGTTTGTGGGTCAAACAGACAATATTCASTCATGCAAATTTGTCCAGACCATGGAACAGCGGCTCCAGAGAGCATTTCAGGATGCTGAAAGAAAGGTCCTAAACACCAGCAACAACTTAACTGTTCAGGTACAGGGCTGGGTGGTTTGCCAGTTCCAAACTCCCCTGTTTATTTTTTGTATTTTTTTTTTTATTATTTTTTGTATTTTTTGTATTCTTTGTATTTTTTGTATTTGTTTATTCTGGGTATATTTGTATTCCAACCCAGTGCCTTTGCTAGCCACTGTGGAAGGAAGTTTATGTTTTCATCTGAAATGAGATTGTTTTATACATTRCAGGAAAAGTTAGAAATGCATTATTTATAGAAGGCTGTTGCTTTTCATGAATTGCAAGAATTTCCAAGAAAACATGTGGGTTTTGTTCCTGGTGTTTGAGGATCTCAGCCAGCAATTCCTAAATAGAATTGGTCCCATAAATGCAGTTTGGGCTTGGGAGGAGCCTGGCACAGAGCTCGAGTGAGGAGGAGAGCAGAGTTCAYAYGATGGGAACAGAAGGGACATSATATCCCCTTATTTCAMATGGAAAAGGAATGGATCCAGAGARCTGCAGTGGGAAGRCAGCAAAGACAAAGAGATAWACAAACCAATTTCTCTGCACCAAGCACTGGATGACTTTTCTGATAAGCATCCTCTCACATCCCAAATTTCCTGGTAAAAACAGGGAAGAACATTTTCAGTCCTGACTGCRCCTTTCCTGCCTTTTCTTCCTGTCCTCCATGAGCTCTGCAAGTGCTAAAGTCGAGATTAAAGTACCACACAAGCCAAGGTGTATGAGCTGTAACTAATCCATTGTTCAGGTTAACATTTCCCTAATTTCTTTGCACTGGTTCAGTATTTTTTTTTTCTGGTTTTGTTTTAAACTGGGCTGAACCACAGCAACGTGTTATTTTTTTTGTCTCTCTTTCAGATTTTGAACACCTCCAATGTCTCCCAAGCTGTCACTCTGTTTTATGTAGTGAAAAATCAAAGCACAACCCTAAATGGCACYATTTCCAGCAACCTTCTTAATCAGCTGTCAGCTGAGCTGGTGGGTTTCTACCTCACCTACCCACCTCTCACCATTGCTGAATGTAAGTATGTGCTTCCCAACRTCAAGACTAGCCAGCACCAGAATTTAGTGTTTGGCCTCCAAGATTGTCCTGCTGCACAGGAAAAGGATTGTGGTGTTTCTCCCAGGGCAATTCAGGCATAGGTTTGGTAGTCAGGAGCTTTGGAAGCCATTTGTCACACAGCAAGCCTTGTGTGTCACTGCAGCTCCCTGCTGATCCCCACACACGATGAACAGACCTGATAAAGTCTTTAGTTGGTGTTCCTTTAACAGCTAATGGCTCATGTTTCATTCTGGAGTTGTTGGTTTTATTCCCAGTGCAGCAGCTGYACCACAAACCCATGAACTCAACGCACACGCGGTGTTTACGGCTCCAGACTGATGGTGTGTCTGCAAAACGTTTYCTTTGAAGAGTGTTTGATGCTTATTCATGTGGCAGGGCAGTTGTCTCAGTTTATCAAACAAACATTGAGGTTGTTCTCGGAGCATGTAATTTCCCAGTAGGCTCCTCCAGAGCCGTCGCAGTCTGTGGTGGAAACGCACAGCTCAGAAATGCTCCTGAAAAGCAGCGCCTGTGCGTAATCAAATCCTTCACAATGTTTACTATTCCCAGCCACTTTGGGGATTCAGAATCAAGGTGACTCAATAGCAGCCCATCAGCGTGCAGAGCACGGATGTTTTCTGAATTAAGTTCTCCCCGTGTGTTAATCTGTTGAGCAAATGCTGAGCTGYGGAATGAATTAGCAGCATATTGAGCTTTACAGCCCGGTGCGCTTTGGAGATGGAGGAGGCAACAAAAGGCATCAAAACAGCAAATATCAGTTTCTCACAGATGCAGACACATATGGTAGTAATGCCTTAAAACGTGTGCAGTGAGAGAGCTCCAAGGTGTTCTCATAGYTTTGTTAGTCTCGCTCCCAATCCACGTGGAGTCTGACCCTGCTGTATTTTCATATTATTTTAGGGTAAAACTGTGGTCTGGGTTATATAAGGATTAATCAGAGAARCACCCTGGAATCTCATCTGGTTTTCTGTAGGGAAGGAAGCAGCAGAAGTGTATACAACACCTCATACCAACCCTTCTTGGTTCTGGGCAGTGCTGGGCCTCCTCCCAGACTGTACCAGCCAGTATTTTATTTATTTATATTTATTTATTTACATTCCAACAGGAAATATTGTTGTATTTTCTATGGTAGTGCTTCTTCTGTTTACACTTGGTGTTCTTTTTCAGACAGAAAAAAAAAAATGTAACTGAAAATTATGCTCAAGATCTCCTCCTGGGTTTTAGCTCAATTTTATTCATTGCTGTCTGGTTAGCCAGTTTTGGGACACATAATGYGTAGGATGTTGGAATATTAAGACATAATTTAATCTTTTATTTTTAAAGCTTTGGAGTATCCAAACCTTGATGTCTCAGAATCAACTAGAGACTACTGGGTGATAACAGGTACTTTTTAATGTCYTTCCCTCCTCTGTGCACTTCAGGTAATAATTTTTAGTGCTCAGGAGAGCAAGAGCAGAGGGCTCTGACATGAAATAGACTTGGTACCAGTTCTACCTTTTCATAAATTTGAAATTAATCATAAGTTTATGCAGGGATTGTGAAACTCTGAAGGGAGTGGTACAGCTTCTCCTGGTTTGGACCCTGTGAAGGCAATACTCCATTTATTGCCTYTGTGCACTTGCTGCAATGGGGTATTACAATGGAAACTCTGACAATTTCTGTCTAAAATATGACATTACAATGGAAACTCTATTTTAAAAAGATCCTGGTGGTCCCAGAAGACTTTTTTTTAAATAATACTGAAAAAACCATACACTTGTATGAATTGCTCAGCATGTCATATCACTTTTCTGAACTTTAGAATCCAGTGTCTTTTAAATCTTGCATTCATTTATACTTCAGAAATGCTTATTCAGGTTTCAGTGCTCTCAAACCAGATATTTTGTTTGAGATTTTATAAAATCCTAACTTCAGAGTTCAAATCTTCAGGATGGAGAACTTTGGCTCAGTTTACAAGAGCATCTGGCAATAAGCATAAACCCAGCAGCTCCCAAATGTGTTTTAACTTTCTACACCGAAGATCATAGAGTAGATGCTTCCCTGAGCCATTTTGGTAAAATGAGGGGTCTTTTGGTAATTTGTTTTATTAAAAAAATGGTATTTTGAGAATTTTACTCTCTGAAACATGGTTGAGATTATCTGTGAGGAAGCATGGTGTATCCCCATCGGGAATTACTCAGCATCCAGCAGCATCCCGGCATTTTTCTTTCGAGTTACTCCACACCTCCCTGTCCCAAACCATCCCACAGCCCACGTGTTATTTCACCCAATGTTCTAACGCGTGTTTTTCTCCCTTCCCACAGTCATCCAAGGGGTTGACATGGCTTTGCTGGGGCTGAACAACCAGAGCTTTGCCCGGCTGATGGAGCAGCGCTTGGCGCCGCTGTTCATGATGTCCCACCAGCAAGGGAGACGCTTCAAACGGGCCACCACCGTGGGCAGCTACACCGTGCAGGTGCTCCAGGGACCTGTGTCACAACACAAAGTGACATTTGGCACAAGCACAGAGTGCTTTGTTTGTGTCCTGCTCCAGTTCCTSTAAAAAMCATTCCTGAAAATTCYGGCATTTCTCGTGAATATCAAAGCRGMGAGGGCAGGATGCATGGCGTTGYTAATCTTTCTTTTYCTTTTTTCATGCCTGTCATCCCTGGGAAATCATCRTTAGTTAATCAGTGTTCATAAATATTTTCTCTCTGGTTGCTATGAGGTTTGGTACAAAGTACAAATTTTAGCGTATTCAGCATAATGAGGAGTTCCAAGATTTTTTTTTTTTTTAAATGATAAAAGTTGCCTAGGTAACTCAAAGGAAGAACTTGGGTTTTTTCTTTTTGTTTGAAAAAAATGTAAGAAGAAGTCTTTATTAATACAGGGTTAGTCATCAAATCATGTGGCTCCAGATCACGTTATGAAGTAGAGATTTCAGACCTGAGYAATTTGTTAATCATCTTACTCTTATTTACAGCATTTCACATTCAGTATTTTGAAATGATAATATTTTGTTCTCTCACCAATTAAGCCAACTTATACTATGGGGAATTCAAAGATTTCTTCTTCAATCTTCAAAAATCAGTTATTTAAAAAAAAAAAATCAAAAACATTATGTTTTTCAAGAATTGTTTGCTATAAGATATAAACCCAAGTTATTACATTTCCCGTTTGTCCACACAATTCATTTTGCTTTCCCACTGAAATAATTTAAAAGAAGGAACATATTTGACTTTGTAAAATTTTAGTCCATAACATAATGGAGAAAAATCACAAAACTCGTCTTTCTTCTCATCACTGGAAGTGTTTGACACTTTCTCTACTGTCAGGAAAGGTAGAGGTACAATGGACAATGTTCTGCAGAATAAAATGGGAAAAGCATGGTTCTCTTTGTTATCAGCCTGGGATGAAAAAAGATGAGTACAGAAGTGAAATGTGAGGCTGTTTTTCAACTGCAATATGCAATTTCAGTATTAGGACAGATTATAACAATTCCCCCTTTACAGAGGACTGTARTGTCCAAACATTTGATCCCTTCCTCTTTACTGCATGCTTTTCTTAGGGCAGGATTTTACTTTGAGATGATGTTTAAAATTTTTTTAAGAAGTCAGCCAATTCTGTGACTGACTGACTTAATAGCCTGGGCTCTGAAGGGGAGAAGCTCTGATCCTGTGAGAATATTTGCATGGAGCTTATGTTTGCAGGAGGAATTTCCTGTGGGCATTGCCTTCAAATAGCTCCAGGCAGGTTTTGCAGTGGGATAATGCCAACATGGTTTATTTCTCYTTCTCTCCTTMTTTATTTATTTATTTGTTTGTTTCTTTCCCTTCAAGATGGTGAAAATTCAACGTATCCCAGGACCCAAGGAGCCAGCTGAACTGACATATTAYACTTTATACAACGGGAAGCCTTTGYTAGGCACTGCAGCTGCCAAAATTTTGAGTACGGTTGACTCCCAGCGGATGGCCTTGACCCTGGGCTATGTCATCCAAGTGCAAGCTGATCGTAAGAGTTCTTACAAAAATTCCRTACTTAAATCATTGTTTTATTCCATGAACTGAACACCATGGAACTGTAAAGTCAGAATTAATTTTGTAGCTGACAAGACAGTGACACCACAGATTAATGACTTGGGCAAAGTTGCTATTCAAATAATTTGGCCCAAAATCAAATGTGGTGGCTATTAAGTTTTCTAGCTCTTTTTGCAGTGATGTGATTTATATTTATGTGGGTATTTAGGCAATCATGGAATCCACTGCTCATCATGTAACTTTGTATTTCCATGGTCTGATCAGATMGCCTCATTTATCTGTAGATTTTCATACCAGCCAAGTATGCACAGAACACTGTAAGAAAGAATATACAGAAATTGAAATTATGACCTGAGGTATCTGGGATTCTGAAGGTAGAGTATTTGAAATGTAGGAGGCAATTCCATCTTTATATCTCATTATGGGAAAAAACTCAGTTTCTTTCTTTTTGGACACGGTTATTCGCAGCGTGTCTTTGCATTGCCACAGAAAATRCTTTGTGTGGATTTCATTTTTGCTCATTATAATTTCTGTCCTAGCAGAATGAAAAGTTCTGTTCCAAAATATGGTAAGAAAAGACACATCCCCTCGGGAGCTCATAGCTGGGTCAGACAAGGCAGACGAATAATAACACAAAATATGGATAGAGACTTAGATATAACAGAATGAAAGGCTTGTTTCAAATTCCACTGCAGTCTTACTCAGTTGAATGAGCCATGGGTTGACTTTAGGTCACATTGCAGTCTGGTAACCGAATTAAAGATGTAAATTAGGACTCCTAAATGTCTGTCCTATTAGCCATAAGGTCATGGTGCCCTCTGCATTCCCTGGAAGGAATAAATTTCTCAACGATTGTTTGCTGCTTCCAGAGCACCAGTCTATAATTAAAGTTACTGCTCTTTGTTAAAATTCAGATTCAGTCCCCTTCCCCACAGCCCTTTCATCCCCAAACTAAATGTCAAAGTCAGTAATTAAGAATTCTGCAAGTCTGGTGAAAAGTGAAACCCTGAAAGGCTCCAACCTGRCCTTTTGGACATTCTTGTGCTCAAGCTCTGACCCCAGTGGTGCCGTTCCTCCATCACCCAACAAACCACAGCTTTGCAAGAGATCCCAAACCTACCAAGAGAACAGGCTCAGGCTCCAGCTGGAGAGCTGAAAGTTGTTAATAACTGCAGCAGAATGAGCTGGTTGGTTTGGTTTGTGAAGTCTGATCCTGGAGATGCTGAGTGCCTCTGACAGCTCATAAGCTCGATGACATTTGAAAGTGCCTGTCCCCCAGGAAATGGGGAYGGCTGCTTTGTGCTGGTGCTCTCACAATGGCCTGCCCACCCCAGAAACCAGTGCCACAGCAAAATAAACAGGGACAGCATGGGGAAGTCCACTAAATATTTCACCACAGCAAAATTCAGCGTTACGAGGAGGTTGTCTGCTTTTCCAGAAAGAAAGGAAATGAAATGGGAGAACTGGGAATTTGTCGAAGGAGGCTCTCTTATGTGTGAACAAGGTTCATACTAAGAGAGATTATTCTGATAAAATGGAATCTGAAATGTTTGTGCATCACTGCATTTCTGAAATGTATCCTTTTCCTGGTGCCATTATTAATATATCTGCAAGTAGCTCTTTCCAACCTCATTATTTCCACTCATTCAAAAATGATGAATTCACTTTGACCTTAACTAACAAAAATTATTTCTAGAGCACAAGAGAACCATTTTCTTATTGCCTTATTGATATTGATCATAACTATTTGAATTATCATCACTGTTTTTGAAAAAGCTCTGCCAGTTTAATCTTGCTGCCCAGTCAGTCTTTGACCCCAGATGTGAACTCCATATGTGTTCTTTTAACACACATGCTACCTGTGCTGGGTTTGTGTTTGTTTTAAATAGTTGAGGATGCATTACTTGCACCTTTCTTTTTGGTTTTTTTTTTCTGTAAATGAACCACTGGAGTGATATTTAATATGGCATTTATCTTGACTTTGGAGCAGATGGCTGCTTTTGCATCTTAGGTAACATAACTAAGAGAAGAGAGTCCAGGCATTTAGGAATTGAGCATTGCTGATTTTTATTTTTATTTTTTTGGTACTAAAGTAATCCTAAGGTATTTCTTTGTGCAGAAAACTAGATTTGCTAATTTTTACACGAAGGAAGTTGAAGGCTGGAAGTGACTGGAATCATGCCCAGAGCAGCTTACCAATGTTGGTTTGCCCTTTTTTTTTGTTGGTAGCTGTGGTGAAGAACCCCCCAAACAACCTGTGGATCATCGCAGCGGTGCTGGCTCCCATYGCCGTGGTCACCGTCATCATCATCATCATCACCGCCGTGCTGTGCAGGAAGAACAAGAACGACTTCAAACCCGACACCGTCATGAACCTTCCCCAGAGGGCCAAGGTGAGTGAGCCAGCCCCAGATTCAGAGGCCCATTTGCTTCTCAGATGTAGCTGAAGGGTGTTTGGGATGGAAATGGTTGTTACTCACAATTTGGATCAGCATATCTTCAATTTTGTAGGGTCTCAAACCCCCCAGGTTGAAGCCCTGGGTGTGGCAGCAGTTCAGACCTGGCCCTTGKCGCTGTTGGCCAGACAGCCTACATAAAAGAATAGATACAAAACACACAAAAAGTGSGTGAAAAAACAGAAAGAAAGAAGGACTTTAYTGTGGGACARGCTTCTTWTATCTRCTTTAGCAACCAGTGCATACATTTGTGTCAAACMTACATTWGTCAGTAAAACTATCACTATCTACTCAACAACATAAAATTAATAAATTTACAAAAAGTACAATATTAATAATATTTATAATTATAAACCACCTACATTATCAATTCTACATTCCAATCTTCTTTTTCTCAAAACAACCAAAAACATAGCATTTTATTCTCATACAAACTATTATCACTCTCCACAGGCCCTAAGAAAAGTTCTCCCCCAAAACTGCTAATCCAGAATAGACATTCTTGAATTTTTTTTTTTCCCTCTACTGCTATTTTTCTTTTAGATGTTTTGATCTTTCTAATTTATTTATGTACATTGCTGGCTGGGTTCGAGCAATTGTGTTTTCCCTAAAGTTACTGATCCACGTCAATTATGAGATTTTTTTTCCCCAAATCAATTTCCAGTTTGTTTCTCTGTCTGTGACAGAAAAATGTCACAGAATATTTTTTTGGTTTTTTTTTTTTGTTTTACCTCCACAGTGAGAAGGTCTGTCCTCTCAGTGCTGCTGTTCAATGGCTCTTGACCAGGAGTACCCAAAGATTGGGGGTTTTAGCCAAGAGTGTGTAAATCAGACCATTCCTTTGCCCTTTTAGCTGATTTTGTTCTTCTCCCCAGGCATGGGATTGAGATGATGAATTTTTTCTTTGGTTTCTTAATGCTACAGACAGCGGTATTATTGAGATTTCAGCTCTGYTGCTTCTGCTGAAAAATTCAGATTGAAAGAAGAGTTGAAAGGAAGCATGATCCATGTGACAGCTCTTTTCTCCTTATCTTGGGTTCGCTGCAGATGGGTGCAGCTGGTGCCAGTTGGAAACCAGACATTTATGTCAGAAATGATGCAAAAAAAGACATTTCCATTTTGGTTCCAGYGTGCTCATCTATTTATCCTCTGTTATCCACCCAGGGTTAAGACTGGATCTACAAAAGTGAAACAGAAAATATCCCAAACACACATGAATTAATATAATATCACTGCTGTGGTATTTGATGCACCACTGAAGTCTCTAAATGAAGATTATGCTTTATTAGGGGCTGTTGCATGTGCTCTGCACCACTTGGTTATTTTTTATATATGATCTTAGTCCTAACTAAAGGAAAGAAATAAGGCTAAATTTATACATTGTTTTGAACTGCTGAAGAAAGTTGCTATTAAAAAAAAAAAAAMCCAAAACACCAAAACCAACCTACTGCTGATTAAAGTGACAGAACCGGAAAAGCTTGAAAATATTTTCATATTTCAGTCTATTGTTTTCATTTCATAAAGAAAGACAAAATTGGATTTTTGCTTTTCCTGAGAAATCAGATTGAATCAGGCTGTGAGMTCCATGCTCAGGTTGAAGCCTGTTCAGTCAGGTTGCATTTGCATCATCTGTCAATGCCATCAGATGGGAGCTGAACAAAAAAATCTGAGCTCCCAGCACCCCCACCACCCTCATTTCAGGAACTTTTCCTATAGATTCAGTCACACTGCAGCTGGAGTGCAGAAGGTTCACTTCCAGAGTGCATTTCCCCTTYCCGGTTTATTTTGAGACTCCGTAACATTTAATTTAATTCATTATCCGAAAAGTGATGCGTTTCCAAATGAAAACTAGATTGTTTTCCGTTTAGTTTCACAATGATGGCTCCAACAGAAAGGTTCTGCCAGGTCTGGTCGAGAGTTTGTGCTGGGATATGATCTGTGAAAGATAAATCCTGCAGTGGTGCTGGGATATGGACTGTGAAAGAGAAATCCTGCAGTGGGACTGCGAATGGACTGCTTTGGTCATTCCTGATTTTTCAGCATCTTTAATTAAAACAAGGCTGAGAAACATATTTTGGGAGGCTAATGAAAGAAGGTAATTTTAAAAAAGAAGAGTTTTAGTTTTATCTTTAATCCCAGTGTTAGGGGTGCAGTTATTGCCACATTTGGTGCAGTTTGGGGATACAAACAGCTGACCAGCACGTATCCGTGTCACATTGAAAATGAGTCTGTTGTTTTTCACGGCTGAGCAGAGTGCCCGAGATTGCTGATTAATGCTGACTCTGCTCCAAGTGGAGTCACACTGGAGTGATTTGTAGCTCCAGCAGCCCTTGGAGTGTTTTCCCTCTGCTCATCCGAGCTTTGCTGTTGAATCACCGGGACAATTTTGCGATCTTTTCCRAACCCCAACAAACGGCGCAGGGAGGAAAGGAGAACACGATGCCATAGCTGCCTGCTGGTATTTCAGGTGTGTTTGCTTTTTGGCTGTGCTGTTTCTGGGCTCGGCCTGCAGCAGTGAGGAGTGGAGATCTGCATCTCTCTGCAGCTCCATCCCTGCAGCGGGGCGGGGGCRCAGCGGACACAGCGCCCAAGGAAACGGCGTTAAAATTTGGGGTTAAAATCCCTCTGGAGGTGATGGAGCAGAGCAGCAGAGCTGCTGCTGTGCCTGGGAATTATGGCAAGGCTCTTGTGTTGTAGCAGGGTGAATAGATGAGGTTTATAAAATGACCTCTCATATTTAGGGTTGTTTATAGGATCTCTTGGGGGTTGCGTTGCTGTTCTGAATTGCCTCGGCAGTCAGGGATGTCTGGATAAAGCTGCAGGGAAAAGGGACTGTGAGCTTTCTTTCAATTTTCTCTCTTTCTTTCAAGGAAGCAGGAATTCAAATTGGTGAAAT